CCCAGACATTGAAGAGAGCTTTAAACCAAAGGAGGATATGACTGCTATGGGGGAAAGGAAGTTCTATTTTCCCAAAGCCAGGACTCTAAATAGCTTCCTGGGAGAAGAGGTAACAGGGCTGAGACTTGATGGGCAAGAAGAGATTCTCTAAAGTAGAGGAAGGAAAGATGTCACCAGAGTACAAAAAAGCCAGGTGGGCTGAACTGTGGAGGCCACAAATTTAGAGCCTTGAAATAAACAGAGTCGAGCCCTGTAGACCCACCTCAAATCCTAGTGTGATTACAGGCAGTATCCTGGTTTCCAGAACTTTGTTTTCTATCGACTAGAATCAGAAAGCTGGACAATGACTAGGGATAATACAAGGAGAATTGATGCCTTTGATCTGTGATTCTGGAGAAGAGTACGGCATATACCACAGACTGCCAGAAGAACAAACAGGTTCATCCTAGAGAGGGTGAGACCAGGCTGCCCCTTGGAGGTAAGGATTCTGAAGGTGGGACCAGTCCTTGGAGAGGGACGCCATGCTTGGGAGAGTAGAGGGACAGCACAAGAGAGGAAGACCCTCAATGAGATGGACTGATTCAGTGACTGGGATACTGGGGGTAACTGTGTCAGAGACAGTAAGATTGGCACAAAATAGAGCAAGGTTTAGGGCTGTTGTACATAGGGTCTCAGGCAACTCAATGGCACATAACAACAACAAGAATAAAAGCAGCTTTTTGTGTGTGGTGTGGTGTGCGGTGGGCACAGAGCCCGGCTTCCTGCAGGTTTGAGATATCAGCACTGTCACCGAGGGAAGGGCAAGTGTCCTCAGCAAGGGGACACTGCAGCCTTCCAGATCCTGGGGTCCACAAGGAAGTTATTCTCTGTAGGAATGCTGCCCAGAGGATTTTGCAGGAATCCCCTGGGCATATGATCGACCACCCCATCATTCCACTCTCCTTAGAAGGCAAGAGAACAAGAGGTCCCAGAGGGTGGGAAGGGGCCCTAGCCCCAGGACCCAGAGAGAAGAAGCAGGTAAGAAGAGCCCATCTTTCCTCCTACATGCAAACCCTGTATTTCTTTAGGATTTCGATTGGAGGGGTTTTTTTTAGAGGTACACTGTGCCTTGGCCACTTCTGCCTGCCAGGAAGCTGAGAACCACAAGTGGTCTGGGCAGGAAATCAGGAGGGGAGGGAATTCTGGTCTCTGCTTAAAGCCTTCCTCCTAATCAAGCCATGTGACTTCTGACCATTCACTGTGGTTCCAACTCCCACATCCGTGATAAGGTTTCAGGGGCTGGGTCTCAGAGTAGTGGCATAACTGACAAATGGCAGAGCTCTGTAGGGCTGTGCCTAGTCAGGGGCAAAGCAGAGTGGTGCCAACTAACCAGTTAGGCCTGACAGGGGCACAAGCAACAGGTCAGCATGGGCCAGTCCCCTGCCCTCATATGCCCTCTCATGTAGCAGTCAGTTCTAACATTGTTCGGGTCCTCCACTTCCTGCCAGTGAAACAGCATTGGGTGCACAGGGTGGAATGGAAGGAAAGGTGAATGGCTGCAGCAGAAGCTGACCATGGGAGGGCGCTGCTAATTGTAAGCAAAGCCTGGGTAAACCAATCTGGCAGTCAGGGGCTGAGGGAAAGAAGAGGCCCAAGAACCTGGGAGAAAGGGGCCTGCTCCTCCAGGTCCCACAGGGACAGTGACCACAGTTCTTCCTATTTTATGTTCCATGATGTGTTCCAGGTTCCACGCTAAGCACTAGCTGGCATCTTGGGCAAAAGGGCTGAGAGGTTGGTCATGGAGAGAGAAGGCACTGCACCCAGCCTGGGCCACCACCAAGAAGGGCTGTTCATCCTAGGCTGGAGGCTAGACAGGCTATAAAATTAAGACAGAGCCTGGGACCTGGGATATGGCCCTGGGGAGGCAGGAGGGCACCAAGCAGAGTGCCTGGGGTCCACCCAGAGTGAACTTGAATAGCTGAGGAGAGGGCTGGGACCCATTTGTGGGCTGACTAAACTCCCTTGGCCCAGGTCTATCCACACGCAGAGAACCACAGATCCCAGCTAGGAGCATGTGGGCAGCACTAGGTGAAGAGTAGAGACTACAAAGTGTGTAAAATATGATGTATGTGACGGGCTGGTCCCCAGCCCAGGTTCTGTCTCCTAGTAACCTAAAGGTTGTCTCAGCCTGTTCCAAGAGATATGGAGGGCATGGCCTAGCTGAGTGGAGCCTTCTAGGCTTGGCGAGTAGAGGAGAAAACAGGAAGGTACGAAAGCAGGGGACATATCTAATCCATGTTCCTTTTGAAGACCACCTTGGGGTTTGTACCTCCAAACATACTTATCCTTAACCACCTAAAGGATAGAGAGGAAACTGCTGTAGATCTGTCCAGAACAGGGAGAGCACTGAGGTCCTACCTGTGAGAAGAACTCTGAAAGTTGCTATGGTCAGAATAAAAAAATCCCCCCAAGTCATTCATCAGACAGACAGACACAGACATACACACACACTTGCAAAGAGAGGGCTAGGCTCAGCCCTGCTTAAAGTTGGCCCTGCCTGGGTCCACTCACTGCTTCCCTACCTCATCGAAACATTTACAGTAGCACAGAAGCTGCTCAGAGCTCAGCTCTGGCTCACAGGGCCCAAGCCTTGATACCAACAAGCAGTTTTCACTTTCACCTGGTCCCTCACCCCACCCAGGCATCTCTCTAAACCCAGCACAAGAAAAGAGGCTAAAATAGTGATATGAGACGGTGTACTTCCAAAATTGGCTACCCAGGTTTGAAGGCTTAGAACTACAACTACAGTCTCATGGGATAACTCAGTCCACTGACATTACATGGTTGACATAAATCACGACCTCTCTCCTAGTGAAGGGAGCATGTGGGGTCTTCAAAGTTTAAGAGGGGTCATCACAGCTACAGCTCTCTGCTCACCAAGAGCTAAACAGTGAGGAGGCAACGAAAAAAGCAGAGAAAAAAACAAATTTACATTATTGAGCTACTATCATTGATTGTTCTGACCTGGGGCACAGCAGGCGGTACTGGATGGAAGAAGTGAAAAAATGTGGAGCAGACCTCAAATTGCTATTTTTTTAAAAAAGCCAAACTAGAGCAGAACAGAAGAGCCCCTGAGACTCCTCCCCTGAGACACTCTTTAAACCTAAAACTGAGTCTATCCTCTGAGATCACCTATTAGCCAAACAGCAGAGTGATGCAAAAATAAAGGCCAGCATCCATTAAGATTGGTGCTCTACTTAAAAATCAAAAGGCCAGCAATTACTCAAAAGCAAAGGCGAGAAAATTAGGAACAGGGAAACTAGAGCACTGGACAGAGAGCACAGAACACAAAGAAAATGTGAACACATTATGAGAAATGTGGCTAATATCACTGAGCAATTTGTGGGGAAACTGTCAAATGGGAACCTAACTTGCTGTGTAAACTTTCACCAAAAAACTCAATAAAACATGAAGCAAATAAAGAGAGAGTGTTTCTGTGCACACTCCCAACTTCCACTCCCTTGTCTCCATACAGAGGCATAGGATCTGTCATGTATGGCACAAATTCTGGGCACCCCTTGAGGGGGAAATCTCTTGGTCATCACCAGCTGTGAGAGATCACTCCATAATTTAAAAGTAATTGCCATAGGCATTATTTTCCATCTGGCTCCATAGCTCCTCGGAGGAGCGACTCTTTTCCCTGAAGGATTCAGAGAATCCCTTCCCTGGGACTCTATAAAGCCCTTCATCATGTTCCACTGCTGTGTGAGTGGTGAAGAAGGTACACCTGAGACCTGGCCTCACCACCTCAGTCTTGAGTCTCCCCCTGCAACCATCCTCAGATCCCCTCCAAGACCACTCTGAGCATAAATCCTGCACTACTTTTAGTGTCTAGTGCTGGGCTGGGGTCCCGGCAAGGACACTTGCAGACCAAGTCCCCCAAGCAACTCCCGTAGCTTCTCTAGGTAGACCTATGCCAGGCTCAGTACCCTACCAACTACTCTGCACTTATACCTGTTTTAAGCTTCCATGTTTTAAGAACTATGTTTTCCCCTTGAACAGAGGAGGAAACCTGGCTTCAAGAGTCCAAGACACATCCATGGCAAAGTCAAGGTAAAGATTAGAATCATATCAGTGGGACTCTGGGCTCGGGCTCATAGTCACAACGTTAGCTCTCTACTGTACTTCTAACCTCCAGGAGTCTACTCTGCCTGCCACGCTCCACCAGTCCAGGTGGCATTGGCACAAGATAAAAGTGAGCAAAGTTCTCAGCTGATGACAGCTTTTGAAGAATTCTGGGTATAGGGCAGGTCCTGGGCATAGAACTGAGTGACTTAAATCAGAGCCAGGTGGTTAGATCAGTTGCCCTCAGGTCTCCCTGATTTCACATGTCACAGCAAGGTCTGTCTGAGGTGAGGCTTCCAGCAAACCTGTGTTGTGTGGCTGGGAGTCAGAGTAGGTCAGGCTGGGATGAGAACCTGCTCTGGTCAAAACGGGGCTTGGTGGCTCAGCAGGAGACCATCGGCAGCCACCTTGCTCACAGGTGGGCATCAACCTTGCCCTCTGTCCAGCCCCAGGAGGGGTTTCCAGCCCCAGCAGACAGGGACCACAGAGAGGGAGCGCTCCCAACACAAATCAGGGAGGCGCTCAGCCTCAGGCAGAAGGAAATTCTGGACTCATCACTGCTAAAGGAACAGCCAAGTTGTGAGAAAGTCCCATTGTGGCCTAAAGTTACACAGAGCCACTCCTTCCCTGCTTCCGGGTCCAGAGGCCCTATCCATACTAACTCCACCCCCTTTCTCACTGGAAGATACAGTTTAGCTACTCTAAGCCTCAGTTTCCCCACTTGTAAAGCAGAGGAGACCCCAGTCCTGAACTCTGAGAGATTACGATCATGAGGATGAAATGTGATGCTGCGCAGATAAAGCTTAGCAAGCAGGACCCTCGGCCATAACCTGCACCCACAAGCCTCGCGGGCAGGCCCTCCGGGTCACCCCAAGGCCGGCAGCGATGTCACTGACCTTCAGGGCGCACTTCTGCCCCGTGCGCCGGTGGAAGCACTCCAGCACCTTGCCGTTCACACCCAGGCCCAGCACCTGCTTGGACAACTGATAGTCGTCGGTCACCGCATACTTCTTGGGTTCCCGCCGTCCCCCAGGGACCGGATCACCTCCGGAGCCGGGTGCGGTGGGTGCCTGGGGAGGAGGCGCAGGGCTCCCCTGCTCCGCTGCCGTCTCGTCATCCATGGCCCCCGCGGGGCGCTCAGAAGCGGCCCCAGCCTGGCGCGTCCAGGACCACCTGAGGAAGAGGAGAGCAGTGAGTCCCGCCCAGACTCGTCCAATGCGCCCCAATCCCGGAGCGCCAACCCAGAGTTGGATGAACTGCGGACGGAGGGCGAAGAGAGCCACTGAACGTGCCACCGCCG